GGGCGACCCCGTCCTGGCCGGCGCCTGGGAGCCCCGGCCCTCGGCGCTGCAGCCGCCTGGCTCCCGCTAAGGCCCGCCCGCGGCGTGGTCGGCGGGCCGGTTCCCAAGTCACCGCCAACCTGCAGTGACACCGACCTTTTAGCATCTCACCTGGGCTGCTGCAAAGTCGAAGCGGGGAAGGGGTTTGCGTGGGGTGCACTCAGCAAGTTGTCGGCCTCTCCCCAACCCCAGGCCCAAGGTTGAGGCTCAATCCTAATGTGTTTCAGTGCTAGTGAGATTTTATCCCAGGATTAAGGAGGCTTCTCCGCATCCACTTTCCGTGCCTTTGGCCAAGGTAATTTGATGGATGCTTTTTTTTTTTTTTTTTTGTCTTTTGTCTTTTAAGGAGCAGTTTGCTATGGAAACCAGATTCCGGGAACTGGAGATACCAGCCTCCATATTTTCTTTTTTTCGGTACTTGTATTTCTGGAAATAACCGTGACTTACTGATGGGTAGAATGGCCGTCCATTCTGTGTCTCTCAGTTCCTATTTTCTTTACTCTAGTTGGCGCATGTTTAATGACCGATCTCTGTGTGTTAGGCACCACACTAGGCACGTTGAGAAACAAAGATAAGGAAGGACAGGCGTCCCTGAGTCTGTAACTGATTCACAGCAATGCGGAACGTTGAGTGTGAGAACAAGCAACTAGGTCAGCGCGTGTGTTAGGGTTGAGCCTAGTTTGCTAAGGGTGGAAATGAACTGGATGAACTAGTAAACAGTCTTTTCTTGCATTGGGCTGAGCAGTGTGCTTGGTATACAGAGATGAAGCAGATGAGGTCTTTGTCCTTGTTGTTCACAGTTTGTGGAAATCAGAGAAAGGTGTGATGGTGTAAGAATTTTGGGGAGGGGGTGTTGGGATGAATCATGACAGGGTGTGAAAGGTTAGAGATTTGGGAATAAAGTATGGCTTCTGAGGGGGGTAGCTTTTGGAACACATGCAGGAGAGTTCCTCTTCTAAGAAGTGAAAGGAAATGAGGGTGATCAAAAGAAATTTGAGATGGAGTAGAGGATTTAGCTCTGAGGTCAGTGAAGGCAGAGATTTTCAAAGAGTATGGGGTAGGATGGGTAAGAACTTGGTTCTGAACTAGCCACACATCTCATGTTCCTGGGAAGTTTTTTACAACCTAACCTACTCCAGACTTCTTAAATCAGAATCTCTTGGAGGTGGGGGATCCAGCTTAGGTATGTTTTAAAAGCTACCCAGGGAATTCTAACATGCAGGCCGGGTTGAATATCACTGTGCTAGAGAATGGAAGAACAGAAAGAGCTAGATATTTGGAAGTTAGGTGAAGAGAAGATTGACCAGAATAACCTGTGTTTATTTTACATCCAGTCATTCACCGTAGACTTTCTTTCTCGCCTGGGAGGGAGTAAAACAGATGATTGACACTGTGGGTGTGTTGGAAGTTTCAAGGAAGCAAGAAATAAAATAATGACTGTAGTTTACTATCATTTTTGACTGTCTGCCACATACCAGGTACTGACATTCATCCTTACAGGAACCCAGCAAAAGGAGTAGTGCTGTATGAGTAACGGTCAAGAGGTCTTGGTGGTTAGTAAGATAGTTAAGTGGAAGTCACAGGCAATCAGCATAATGAAACTTGGAGGAAGGTAGCAAATGGTGGCCAGAGAGCAAGCTCCTAAGCCATATGCTGAAGTCTGAGAAAGGAAGGGTGGGATCTCAGAGGCAGGTGTGGGAAGAATGATTCCAGCCAATGGTGTGCGCTTTGGGAGGTGGAGTGGGAGTGTGGGTGGGTGTGTCATGGTTCATGGAGCACAGGACCAAACACCGGGAGAGGGAGGAGTCAAATGTCTCTGGAGATGTGGTCAAGGAGCAGTGTTCCAAAAAGTTGGTTTTCAGTTGTATTGTCTGTTCCAGGACTCTTAAATTCCCCAGACTCCTTGGTAAGAGCGAATGACACTCTAGGCTTGGAGGAGGTCCAGCAAGTAGGTACTTTGTGAGTTTTTAAAATAGACCTGATAATTTAAAACAAAAAAACAACCCCAAGCCTGGGCCCCACCCCCATTAATTCTACCTCACAAGGCCACTGTTAAAAAAAATTAGAGTATTTTGTGACCTAAAAACTGTAAAATGGTAATTATTAGTAATGACTGGATTTTTGCTTTAAAAAGTCTCACCTTAAGTGCTAGGTCCATGTTCTGGAATTTTCTGCCTGTCTTTAGTGCTTATCAAAGTAACTACCACTTTATTTTTTTGTCTGGTAGTAGCAGAGTCTCGGTTATGTAACTGGTTGGTAATTCTTTATAATTTTTGCTTCTTCTCTTTACACACTAGAAAAAACCAAGTTCTTTCCTTTCTTGCATCCTATTTAAATTTCAGTAACCTTTTTTCTTTCTTTGATGTTTATTATTCAGTAAGGATAATTGCTAACATGAGTGTAGTTCATAGAGTTACTGTGGTAAATCTCACCAAGTCTTTTAAAGCATTGAATATCAATTAAGCTTTTAAAGTTCAACACAGGAGCAGTTTTTTCCTTTTTAAGTTAATGTTATTTCCCATTAAGTTTCTATACTGAATGTTCAGGAATTTCTTAAAATAATGGTAAGAAGTCATTTTAGTGATAACACTAGTGGAGCACACTACCAAATTAATCTGATGGTTTATTACATTTTACATTTATGCAGAAAGTTGAAATAGTAATTGGGTATTTGGAGTCTGAAAGTTTTCAGTGTATTTTAGTAGCACTGTTACTCGGATTGAATGGCACGAGGATGGGAACCACCTGTTCAAGGTGTTACTGAAATCTGTTTCTTACGTTTTTAGAGGCTTCATGATGGAGTGATCAGAGACATTGAGAGACAAAATCGGAAAAAAGAAAACATTCGTCTTTTGGGAGAACAGATTATTTTGACTGAGCAACTTGAAGCAGAAAGAGAGAAGATGTTATTGGCAAAAGGATCTCAAAAAACATGACTTGAAATGGATGTCAAATATTGATGGGACAGTGTCAAGTGTGGGTGTGCGAGTGTGGATGGAGAATAGCTTAGTGAGGTCTTTAACCTTTTTTTGGTCACTGTCCTTTCCAGCTTGACCAAAGAAAAGGACAGTGGACCATATATTCTAAATTACTGCTTTAAAAGTCCCTTCTGAGTCAAGAAGCAGGCAGACACTCTTCTGAAGAATTTCTGTCTGTGTGGTCCTGGTAGAAGCCCCGGTAAGCTTGGTGTCCAGAGCTTAGGATTGTTAGTGAAAAGCACTTTGGAACTGTGAGAGGAAGGGATGGATAGTAACATGCACCTGAGTAGTTTGATAAGCCGGCACGATGATGAAGCCACGAGAACATCTACCTCAGAAGGGCTGGAGGAGGGGGAGGTGGAGGGGGAGACTCTCCTGATCGTGGAATCGGAGGACCAGGCATCAGTGGACTTATCTCATGATCAGAGTGGGGATTCCCTCAACAGTGATGAAGGAGATGTGTCGTGGATGGAGGAGCAGCTGTCCTACTTCTGTGACAAGTGCCAAAAATGGATCCCGGCCAGTAAGGAGCTTCTCAATTCCTTTGATTTGTCAATTCCTGCGTGAAGGTTGTTTTTCTAACCTGTGAGCCAAACGTGAATGTAAAATGGACCTAAATAAAAAGATAATTATTATATTTATTATTAGTTTAGTTGGTTAATGACAGATTTATATAAAACATAGACACATTTGTATTAATAAAAATTACTGTCAACCTCTCACATTGTTAAATTAACGTTCTTGATGGCAACCCAATAAAAATCAGAAAATTGGGAATTCTGCGTTATTTAAAGAATTAGCCACATTGTTCTAACAAGATCATGTTACGGATTTGGGGCCAAATAATAGGCCCAGTATAGAATTAAAGTTCAAGTTACTCGGGTAATATTTAACTCCCATGGAAAACTGCTGTTGTATGCTGAAGTAAGTCAGAATTAGCAGATTAAGAGTATTTTGTGCTCTTTTTCTGGGACCATTCTTGTTTTCTGCTTGCTGGCCTCCTAGATCTGCTGGCAAGAGATACACACACACGTGCTCTCCTGATACCTCACTCTTTCAACTTAATCTTTGCATCTGCCAGCTTCCAGGCTCTCAAGGAGCATGCTCTGCCAGCCATCATGAGTCTTAACCAAAACAGGATTTTCCCATTAGGCAGAGACTAGTAAAGGAATTCTTTGTGTAATAGAGTTTGTAACTAGGTCAGAGGAATTTGTGTATGTGTGTGTGTGTATACACATACATACATGTGAAATGGGTCATTTTCTGGTATGTGGAAATGTGTTTAAGATGGATTTAACTATTCAGAATAATAGTTACTATTAATAAATTAACATTTTCATAGGAAACAATCTAGAACTTTCTATGCCTTAGCTAGTGTTTGCTTCTGAGCAGTTTCTGCTTATTGATTCACGCACCTGCCTGAAAATCTCAGTGGCATTCCCCTTGTCCTCTCAGGATGTGTTTTAAGCTGTCTTTCACGATAGGGTCCCTACTAACTTCAGCTTCTCTCTTCAGTATCCTGTTGCCACACAACCAGCACTTTGCAGTTAGGGTGAGCTTTTCTTCTCCACAAACATTTCTTTCTTACCCCAAGGTCTTCACACATTTTCATTTCCTCTCTGGAATATGTGTCTCTCTAGCCCCCATGGCCTCCCTGCCAAACACACAGGCACCCCTTTTCACCTGGCCAATTCTAGTCATCCTTCAGGCCCCCTGCAGACCCACTTTTTCTAGCCCTCCCATCTTCCTAATATGGGTTGGGCTTCCCTTCTCTGTGCCCTCACATTGCCCTATGGCACACACTGCATTCCATTCCAGTGGTTGTCTTGTCTCTCAGAGCATCAGCATCACCTGATTCTGGTGATTCAAGGCAGAGACCCAGACCCCACTTTCAGAGAGTGATTCATTCCAGGAGGATGGAGAACACTGTGCTGTTGTGATGACCTATTTCCTCATCTGTGGCCCTCCAAATTTGTAAAATGCCAAGAGCACACCTGCCTTGGATACTGTGTATTCCAGTTCCTACACCAGTACCTGGCATGCAGCAGGAACTCAGATATTTCTTGAAAGAATGTGTCAAGAGACCCATGGGAGTCAGGAATGTCAACAGTTGGAAAATCCAATGACAGCAATAAAAACTTGCTTTTTCAGTATCTTTCTCCTAAAAGTTAGGGAACCACAGATCTCAACAGGTATATGCTATGTTAGAAAAATAAAAATCTTTTCTTCTACCTTCCCCATTCCCATCCTGCTGTCATGGGTTGGCTAAAAAAGAGGAAAAACATGGGAAGCATGGAAAATCTGGTTGATAAAGGATAAACGCCGCTGTAAATAAACCTGTGATGTGCCTTTTTGTTTTTCTCCTAGGTCAGCTGAGGGAACAGCTCAGTTACCTTAAGGGTGATAATTTTTTTAGGTTCACTTGTTCCGATTGCTCGGAAGATGGCAAGGAGCAGTATGAAAGGCTGAAGCTCACGTGGCAGCAAGTGAGTAAAAAGCTCTCCCCCCTCGAATTCATGAGGTCGATCCTCCAAAGAATTTAGTGGAATGAATATTCAGAGAATGAGGAGCTTACTTCTAGGCTTTTGAGCGGTTTTGAGAGTCACTTTCTATATCACAATGAAAATCATATTCCAACTATATGGAGAAAGGAGTTCTTGGTAAAAATACTCAACTAACTTAGTGAATTAGAATTAGGTTTGAGATTCTTGAAAACCTCAGATACACACAGAATTTCATTTATATATAATACCAAACTCTGATTTTAATGGAATTAAAAGGTTCACATTTTTTCTGGCAGCCATGTTTAGAACAATAAAACCATTTTTAAAAATGTAAAGATGGCCACATTAGAAATAGTTGAAAGGTATAATGTGGCAGAAGCCAACATAAATCTGGCTTTTCTGTATTTGAACACAGACATGCTTGAAAAATTTTTTTCAATGAATGCCTATGGCCACCTTTTAACCATCTTTGGTACCAGCACCCTAGTCCAAGCCAATTATAGCATGAACAATAGCTTTTTACTGATCTCCAGCTTGCATTAAATTTTTATGGTTTTGTTCTTATATTAATATGTCTATAACAGGGTACCAACGATAACAGTAAGTTCTAAAAATGACTGGAGTATACATACTGAGTGCCTCGGACAAACCCGGTGCTGTCATAGGCCTGGAGACTGCTGTGCTGAGTGAGACAGCTGGGGAGCTGGCATTCTAGGCATTTATTTTCAACAGTAAGCAGACAAACAAATAAGTTAATTACCCATAGCACTTTTTTTGCTAGGAAATAAGCAGGGTAATGAGAAAGAGTTTAGATGAAATGATCTTAGCCACTTAAGGTATTCCTTATAAACTGCAGTTGCTTTAGCAGCTTAGACTGTTACCTTAATTATCAGTGCTTCCCTAGGAGATGTACTAATGAAATCTGTCAGTGGTGAATTTAGGGAGCCTTTTTTGACTAGCCAAAAATATGCAAGTAGAAAATGAAGGGAAGTTTGTACTGAGGATATAACCTCATAAATGTAATTGTGATGTTTTTCTCAACATGTACATGGGATATTGCATTTAGGCAAGGTCAGATTAATATTAATAGATTATTCTGATGCATATACCCACGACAGATTTGTGTTTGATCTGCAAGTAGCTTCTCAAAAAGCTGTAAAGTGGAAGAAATAGCAAGTATGTATAGTTTATTTGCAAGAATACGAGTTTTCTGTGGAGGTTCTTTTGAAAAGAACAACCAGCTTTTGGTTATATTGCTTAGAAGATATAATATTGGTTCAGTTTGCACTTTTAATTAGACTAACGTCACTTGAAAATTATGTTTTCACTGCCAGAAGACAGATTGATGGGAGATAATACCCTGGTATGATGAAGTGGCAGATCAGACACTTGGTAGATCTGGTCTTGGTAAACTACTGACCAGTATTTCTAGTTGCACCTAAAAAACCGAGACTCTCAAGAAGGAGCTGAAAGAGAATCAGATGTTTTTGGATAGATTCTATTGATGTCACCAAATAGGTGGGTTTTCTATCCTTTTAAATCTTAAACTTTGTTGATTTTTGCAAGTAATAAGTAGAAATGCTTGTTTGATCACAAAATACCATTAGTAAAGCAGTCTGGTCTCCTGACCTTTCTTCCACGCCCTTTCTTGTGTCCTCTCCTCCTTAGTGATTTGTGAACCACAGTTGGAAATGCAGGAGAAACTCTATCATGTGTTTGGGAAGGGTAGGGTACTTGTTACATTCTCATCCTGGACACTTACTCTTCCATGGCAGGTAAAGAATGTACCATGATCTGTACTCATTATTTTTCTAGGTGTTTTCCAGCTTGTGAAGTGCCTACTGTGGCTCAGCCAGCCCTGAGCTCCTCCCTGGGGACACACTGTTACTGATGGGCTTGGGCTGCTAGTGGGAGAGCAGAAAATCCACCTGGGATTCCTTTTCTTCAGATTACAGATTCCAGGAGAGGAGGAAAACCATGTCCTTCATATATTGAGTTTGTAGTTTGCGCAGTAAATATTAAGTGATTATAGAAAAAGTTATTTTCAAGTAAATATATGAATTTTAACTTTTTAAATATTTCACACATACCAAAAAAAATATGTATATATATACACCAGAAATAAAGTAGCAGACAATGTCTCTATCACTGAGATTAACAGTGAATACATGTGTCTGAGGTAGTCTAGGGGTCTGGGAGTAGGCAGAAGAAGCTCATTTCAGTCTCTCCTTAAAGTATTTCTTGAACAATAACTTTTTTAAATTGTGGTAAAATATATATAACATGAAAGTTTACCATTTCATCCATTTTTAAGCATATAATTCAGCGGCCTTAAGTATATTTACAGTGTTTTGCAACCATTGCCGCTATCCATCTCCAGAACATTTTTATCTTCCCAAGCTGAAATTCCATATCCATTAAATAGTTAAGTCCCCATGGACAGTTTAACTGTTTTAAGGAAGATGTTTGTTG